GAAATGAAGAAGGGTCTCGGCCCGAAACGTCAGCCTTCCTGCTCCTCTGATGCTGCTTGGTCTGCTGTGTTCATCCAGCTCTACGCCTTGTTATCTAAGGAACTGTTTATGGCAGGGATAGGTTTCTTTCAAATCAATGTTCCAGAACCAGTTCTACCATGTTTTCATGTGGTAAAGTTGTTACACAAAGTTACTATTAAATTGTTTGTTTTTGTTTATTTCCTATACCTTGCTTCTATATCTTTTAACATAAGTAAAATTAGAATTCTGAACTATCATTCACATCTGTCTTCACTTGAGTGCTTGCCGTAACACACACTGGTTGGCTGACTTCCAAAAATTAAGAAATAAATGTAGAATAGTTTAACATTTCGTGCTTCCACTTATTCGTTTTGTTGATCTTAACATTTAAATAGGAATCACCATTCAAATTGAAACATTTCGGGTGGCTGTGAAGCAGTTGCAAGTATCTTTGTGATATTTGAAAAAGATGCAGCAAACTTTTTATTATCTGGTACCTGTGTGGCACCAGGAATGTGCCGGTTGATTAAGTATTCCAGTTGATCAAGAGGTTTACATAATGTTAAAAAAGTACACTAAGTAATAGAAATGTAATGAAAGGGGTATACATATCACTGTACTGTATTTACAGCATAAATCACATGAATAATTAACTTAAAACTAAACGGCAGAGAACCTTCTCACGCGCACTGTCAACTGACTACTCGGACATTGCAGAGATTGTGATAATGTAGGAAAAGTCCAGTAGTTCAGGTATATAATTTTTGCCAGTTTGAAAAGAAGTTTGCCATACTACAATATTCATTTTTCCTTTCCATTTATACCAGTGGCTGTTTCATCTTTCCTAGCATTAATACTTGCTTCCTAGAACCTTTTTAAGGTTAATAACAATTGATACCTGACCAGGAACTCAATCCTTTATTAATGAGCCTGGTTTGGAAGTTTTGGTATTAATGGCTGCCATTGTGGGAGAGTTTAGTTCGTTCTAAATTGACAACTTCTCTCAAATTGTTTTGGGAGAAGGATAGTTAGTGGGTAGTGAGCCAAACTAAATAAATATATACTGTGTGTTTATGAAAAGCTACAAAAAGAGATGTTGTGAGAATGTTCCAAAAATGGGAAGATACAAATAAAAGTACTTTTTTAGCTCGTTAAAACTTCAAGTGAGGGTGTTTTGAAAGCTAAATTTAGAAACAAGCTATTAGCCACATTGTGCAGGATAAATTCTTATGTGTGTGCAGTATATATGACTATTGCATTGAAGACAAATACATATGTTAACTTCCTTTGGGATTTTGCTTGAATATAACAATCTGTCTGTTTTCAGTTGTAGTTGGTCACTGGTACATTAATCAATTGAGTCAACTTGGAATTTTTGTTGCCCTCCCACTCAAGGTTGTAATGAAGTTATGGATTGATAATGTGTAGGTTGGACATCCTGGTGGCTGATGCAAGGAGAACACCTCTAGTGTGGAACATATTTGGATCCTGCATAACAAATGAGACCAAAAGGTGCATGCAAAGAAATAACCAAATTGGACATTGTTGAAAAGGGGGACATGTTGCTGAATCATCAGGACAAACGGTGCCAAATTCGAGCATTTGTAGAAATTTGCAATTACAGGAAAAAATTATGCCCATTGGTTTGCAAGTTGACGCTGGCTGAAATGTGCCATGGAGAAAGCAATTCATTGTTTTCAGCGTTTCTGTTAATCCAGAAACTACAATACATGTAAAATGTCTGTAGCTTGTGTCTTGCCTATGTGACTTTTGTTCCAATTGTCTCCATTTCTGATATTCTTCCCATATATAAGAACTGATTATATCTTTTTATTTACTGGAGGTAATACATTCTGCAGGAGTAGTATGCTGAAGACTGGTGTCTAGTAATTCAGTCAGTGTGCCAAAGAAGGGATACTGATGAAATTAACTGCTTTGATTCAAATGATGTCAAGCTTTGAGTGTTCTTGTAATTGCTTAATCGATTTCCACTACATTCTGGACAAATTTTACAGGTAGTGATGAAACCCTCGAGGGTCATGGTTGCTGCTGACCCTTTGTCCCTTCCTCTTGCTCATGACTCGGAATATATGGTATTGAGAATGAGCTACAGCTCATGTCAGTTCAGTTGGTGACATTATCAGCTGCAAATGATCCCAGGTAGCAGTTGTTGATTTCCCCCAGGCTGACATTTACCCATTCATTTGTCTGTCCAACTGTCGTTCTCTCTTTCTCTCGTTCTTGGCATCATCACCACTATTAAGTTCTGCTGCCCTGCGCCTACCCCATCTTTATATATACCGATCTCTCCCTAGCTGCAGACAGTTCTGATGAAGAGTCACTGAAGAAGGTAATGAAATATTTATTTTGCTTTCTCTCTACAGATGCTGCCAGACCTGCTGAGTTTTCCCAGCAATTTGTTTTGTTTCTAATTTCCAGCATCTGCAGTTTTGATTTTTTTTAAAATCAAGTCACTTGGGTGATTTATACAAAACAGCAGAACTAAAATATAGAATAACAGTATTTTCCAAATAAAGACGAGAGAAAGTTTGCATTTCCAGCTGTATGGGGAAGGAGCATACTGGGATTAAGGAAATAAAGGACTGCATTGCAGAATGTCACGAATGGTTTAGTTTGCTGGGGGCTATGATCCTCTAATTAGAATATGATTTTATGCATGTTCATGGGATGCGTATGTCACGTGGACAGGCCAGTATATATTGCCCTCACAAAATTGGTGGTGAAGTTACTTCTTGAACCACAGCAGTCTTTGGGCTGTTGGTACACCAATAGTGCTGTGAGGGAACCAATGTCAGGGTTTTATTCCAGTAATGATGAAGGATCAGCACGCTTATTCCAAGTCCGGTTGGTGTGTCGCTTGAAGTAGAACTGGTGGATGGCAGGGTTCCAATGCATCTGCTGTCTTTGTTGCTTTAGGTGTATTTGGGTTGCAGATTTAGAAAGCTTTGCCAAAAGAGACTTGAGGTGCTGCATTGTATCCTGTAGATAATAGCCACTGCTGCTACTGGTGATGGAGGGAGTGAATGTTGAAGGCGAAAAATGATGTGGTCTTGCATGCTCCTTCGTCCTAGATGATGTTGAGCTTTTGTTACCTGGATGAGTGCAGCTCCAACAAATGTCAAGTATGCTACTGCATCGCTGGTTTGTGTCTAGTTAGTGGTGGGCAGGCTTTGAGAAGTCAGGAGGCAACTTGTTGCAGAATTCCCAGGTTATAACCTGTTTTTGTAGCCATAGTGTTTATATGGCAGTCATGTTTAGCTTGTGGTCAGTGGTGACTGCAGGATTATGTTAATGAGTGCTTCAGCAATGGCAGTGCCAATTTGCCAAGGTGGCGATGGTTGAATTTTCTTCTTGGTAGTGATTGTTGCCTAGCATTTGCATGGCATGAATCCGTATTTGAGGAGTTGGTGATGGTACAGAACATGGTGTAATCATCAGTGAAATTGCCATCTCTGACCTTTATGATGGCGAGAAGGTCACTGTTAAAACACCTGAAGATGGTTGTGGCTGTCCCCATCGTGAAGAGCTGCAGTGATATCCTTTAGTCAAGTTGATTGATCTTCAACCACAACTTACTTTCTTTGTGCTAGATCTGACTCAAACCAGTGGAGAGTTTTTTCCTGATTTCTGTTGACCTCTGTATGTAAGGCCCCCTTCAATATTGCCTTAATGTTAAGGGTATCACCCTCACATCCCTTCTGGAGTTAAAACTGTTTTGTTCCTGTCTTGGCCAAGGCTGTAATGAGGGCAGGAGCTGATTAGACATGGAGGAACCAGCATCACGAGCAGATTTGTTATTCTGTAAGTGCTGTTTGCTAGCATTGTTAATGGCACCTTCCGTCACTTTGAGCATAGATTTGAGGCGCTAATTGACTGGATTGGATTTGTCCTGCCTCTTGTGGACAGACATACCTGAGCAATTTTTAATAGTTGAAAGTAGATGCTGCTGGTGGCATCTGTTTTTGTGGGTTTTGCAATTAATCTTTCTGAAGATGTTGACTGCCCTTGTTCCATTAATGAAAACATTCAGCTTGAGGTGCTGGTGATTGATCTAGAACAGATGCCCAGCTTATTTTTTTCTGTTGACTTTGAATAGGTTTTTGGTCATGTGTCGCAATATTTTGTGCAGTTCAGCGGCAAATATTAAGTGTTATATTATGTTGAAGATGCTATCTGAATGCAGCTTGTTGATGGACTTTTGGATTCTGAAGTAAAGGCATATAAATGCTTAATTAAAATTCTGGTATTTGCTAATGTTTTTATCACGTACTAAATTTTTGATTACCTTTAATTATTCACTTTGACAAGTTACTATATCCTGTGTTCATCTGAATTGATCTTTCAAAAAGATTTTCTTCCTGGCAACATTTAGCAAGCATGGAAAAACCTGTGGCTTTGCGCAGTCCTCAACTGTTGATTATATGGCGTGTGCCTTAAAGAATACTGACAAGAATATAATGAACGGCGTCGCCTAGTACTGTTGTTGTGACAGGATAAACTACAAGTTGGTCATTTAATAAATCTAGATTTTAGGAAGTATTGCATGCTCACCGTCAATCTAGGTTAATAAATGTCCTTTTTCTGTTTTTCTTCAGTACATCTTTGGGGAGTTCAGCCCTGATGAATTCAATCAGTTCTTTGTCACATCACGCAGCTCTGTTGAGGTGAGTGTACTCTTTGCAGGGGAGGCGGGGGAGTCAGAAAAGTTGGATTTTTTATTTTTGTTTATCAAATAACAATTTCCAGGTGGCGCTGTTGGCTGTTTGCTAAGATGAATGTAAATCAGCTGATTTTAGCGGACTTTTGACCAAATAATGGAAATAGAGATAATTGAAGGCTCAGTTAACTGCTGTGAATAGATATTTCAGATGAACAGAATTCTGTCCTTTGAAAATTAATTGTCAATTTCAACGACTTAAGTTGTTTTTGGTTGAAACAAGACATTTGGAGTAGCACCTGCATTCTGAGTAATACGAAGATATAAAAATGTATATCGTGAATCAAAACATAAATGCATATCATATGTAAGCTTAAGTTTTTTTAGATGAAAGGCCTGGAAAAGTTGTGTTTAGTGATTCCATGATTTTGTTCATATACAGCGGTTGTCACATTTCAACTGCTCTATTGTTGTGATCTACATTTCTGTGGCATTAAAAATAAAATAATTTTTTAATGTTCAGTTTAAGAACCCTGCCCCTGCGTTTTCAGTATATATCTCAATTTACAATTAGAAAGTACAAGTTGAAAATCTTTAATGCACAAAATATTAATATGGGTCATAGTAGAATGAGATGTGCTTATTTATATCATCGAAGTGGCTCCCAAGTCACCTCTAACTCAAATCAGTTTTTGATTTTGAAGGCGACTTGAATATTTTTAATCGTCATGTACTTAAAATTGTGGAGCTTTTTGTTTTCCTCCTTTTCCCCTACAGCCAACAAAGGTAATCAGTCCCAGGATATGCACCTCCTGAAATAGCTTCTTTTTTTTCCAGCACTGATGGCAGTATATTCTGTGTTCAAAATGTTGGTGCTTATTACTAAAAGAAGGATCAATTTAAAGACAGTGTAAAGTTTGTTTCTATTTCTGATCCCACCTTCCACAAGGGGCCCTCAAAAATGTCCACACCTATATTCTGTCTCTCATTGGACCCAAAATGTTGGCTCTGCTTTCTTTCCATTGATGATGCTGAGTTTTTCTAGCTCTTTGTTTTGTCGCAGATTTCCAGCATCTGCAGCTCTTTATTTTTGGTAAAGTTTGCTAATGTTTTCCTATGTAATGTTTTGCATCTATCATTCTGTAAAGATACGAGTAATTTTGGTATTATAGATTGAAAGTATCTTGTGTATTTGAATTGAAATTTTCTGGACTGAATTGTTTAATTTGTCACTAAATTGTATCACTTTCAACAAAAATATGTAGCAAAGGATTATGTTTTGTAGGGTTTTTTGTAATCCTGTGCAAGGCGTAATACCAAACTTCTGTTTTCTGTTTGGCACAGCTTCCCCCATTTAATGATAAAGTCTTGCATGTCAGTCAGTCAGTAGGTAAGTGTTTGTTTGGTTTGTTTGTAAGTATTTGCCAGGATTCCATTGAACTTGATAATCTGGAAGAATTTTGAATAGTATGAAGATCATGCATAAAATATGTTTACCTTTTAATGCTTTTGTGTTGTAGGCATGATAATGAATATTTGCTTTTTTTTAATGCAGGCTAATTCCAAATAATGCCTAGTGATGGGACTGCATACATAAAAACCAATCGCTTAAGTAAGCTCCTAAATTTGGAGCTTCTGGAAGTTTGAATTTTATGTGCACGTTGATTTTCTTTTCTTTTGCAACAAATGCTTATGGAATAATTTTGGAATGAATATATAAATTACTTTTGATGCTGCATGGTTAATACAAGTGTTGACCCCCTTAGAATTCTGAAGAGTGATTTCAGCTTAAATCTCAAATGTAAGCTGTTTAAACCATTGCATAGTTAATATTTCAATTGTTCATAACTTAACATAATTATTTTCACTTAAAATAAGCTTTGCATTTCAGTGTCTTATTTTTGGAGCAAGATGAAGGATAGTTTAATATTTTATATAGCAACTTATAGGGTATGTACAAACATTGCAGCTGACTGTTTGGTTTTTTTTGTTTATATAGGAGATGGAAACGATTCAGACACTGAAGAAAATGAGTCGGAACCACCTGGATTGCAGGGCAATATTTACAAAGTTTCCAGTACGCTAAATCCACAAGCACCGGAATTTATATTGGGTTATCAACCTGTACAGAAATCCCTCAGTAACTTGTCAGAAGAAGCTGCCTATAGCTCCATTGACTGCCAGTTTGGAGAGGGTAATATTTCTCTGGACAGTGGCAATTGCCAGGGAAATGATGATCTTGTCTACCGAGGGCAAGGCCCAAGGGAAAGGAGAAACAAGAAGAAAAGACCACCTGGTTATTATCGCTATCAGGAAGGTGCAAGTGATGCCGGTGGTCCCTCTGAAACTTTGGGCCTTGTTAATGGACATGTGTTAAACTCAGGGCTCAATGCAATAAGCCCAGAAGAGGTTGAATTACTTGGCCCAAAAGAGGTTCCTGAATCTCATGGAGCTATTTCTTCAAAAGCGAATCAGAGGACTTGTGACAGCCCTGAAAATGATGCGGACTTCATTAGTGGAGCCTTCTGTAATGATACAGTCTCTAGTACATTAGATGAGGCCAGGACTGCTGAGCAGCCTGGATTTAAGCTGGAGGCAAACAATGAGGCTACTAATGAGGTTAATTCCACTGAACAGCCTGATCTTTCTGAGACTGGTAGGAATAGCCCAGTAAGGACAGCTATTGCACAATCCTATGTAGGCACAGACATTAATGTGGATGTTAAAAATGACAGTGGACAAACACTGGAATCTCCTGGTGATAGTGCTGTAGCACATCCTAGTACTGATGGGGAAGGATTGCAAACTGATAGCATAGAATGCGAGCAGGAGAAACCAGAGGATGTATTTGCAGTTGAGCCAGAGCAGACAGTTTTAGCTCCTTCTACTGCTTCTGCTCCCTTGCCAGCCAAATCCTGGGCTAGTCTCTTCCACAATTCAAAGCCGTCTTCGGCAGGACCTGTGGCCTATGTTGAGGCAAAGTTCACACCAGCCAGTGCTTCTGTTCAATTACCTGAAAAGCAACCGGAAATAAGAATGGACGTGCCTGTTCCAATGTCTGAGGATTCTGCAGCCCAACAGATAGCTGGTAATTTTTAGAACATGTTACGAAGGAACTTCAAATGATCAGTTCTACTTTTGTGGTATACTTTGGCTAGTTTCAAATTAAGTATTTGTTAATATGTTTTCAATAATTAATAGCTCAAAAAGAAAATGAGGTTCTTTAAAGCTAAAATTCTAACCTAAACAAAGCTTGAGACAAGTCTGTTGAGCTATTTAAGTTCAGAAAATACTTCCTGACCTGGATGTTTTGCTGTGCAACCAGTTGCCATAATGTATAAGACAACAATCTGAATGTAGAAAGGCAGTGCTCGTGCATATGTTGGCAACTTGACAGGAAATCAGACATTGGATATCATACCTGAAGTTTGAACAGGTTGTATGCATTATCAAGAGTATGTCACTGCACATCAATGCATGATACATGAAAAGTTTTTTAATTTATCAGCACAAAATCAAGAAGATCATTAATACTTCATTAATTTGAACCCACTGCGATGAAAGTCACTAAAAACAAGTCACTTCCTCACCTTTGATTGCACTTGGTTAAGCCTGTGCCTCAGTTTATAATTTTTTACTGTTTGAATTCTGCAGCAGGTTCCATTAAGTTTGAGATACTGTGTTATATTCTGGGGGGAAAGAAAGAGGTCCTTCAATCAGAGCAGTATCTACTAACAACAGTTCTGTTTTGTGCTCTGAGTTAGTCAGTAGGTATCAAAATATTCTCGGGCTTGAAGACATTTGGCTCGATTTGGCTAGATGTGCCATACAGGATGGCCTGTATATGTTATGTGGCAGTCGTCGTGTATGTAATAAGTGGGATGAAATGAAGCTGCACCTGTTTTGTTTGAATGTTATTCATTATTATGTATTAGTGCATTTGGAAACCAGCAAGTGTCTATCCCCTATGAAGGTGAAATATCAGGAATGAGCCATAGGTCACAAATTGGCACGTTTAATTGCCTGGATCCAGGACTATAATTAATTGCTTGGTAGCATAGAACCTAAATATTGGTAAAAGGAGACACAAGCTCAAAGCTTTTTGTCTCACACTCATCAGAACTAGGATGCCAGACCACCAGTTTATATAGTGTGTTAACAGGTTGCTGATTGGGCCGCGTTTGCTCTGAGGGGTACAGCAGGAATAGTTGACTGTCAGTCTTAGTTCTCAGACCAGGCAGGTATACTCTGGCCATGGTGTTACCAAGAGATTGGCAGTCTCAGCTGTTTTCTGCTGTATGAAAAGTACACAATATATGTGCAAATTCTTTTAGCCTGTGTAAAACAGAGTCCTGTGTTAATATATATGGGGGTTTCTGGCACATAAGTGCATAACAGTACAAGGTTGACTGATAAATTGGTTTTTGGTGTAGTTTTTGGCACAGTCTAGATTATTTAAGAGTTATATAACAGCAAAATCGCACCTAATATTGAACTGGTGTTCTGAGATTTGCAAGGATGGACTAGTTGTGCAGGACTTGCAGCTGGCTGAGCAAGTTCAGCATACTGCTCTTTGTGAATGGTAAACAGGATGTTTTGCTAATGTTTTACTTCTATTTTTCTGTATTTGATTATGATCTGAACTGAGTAAAGGACTGGTTTAAATGCAAAGGGTTGTTACACTTCCGCCTGCTTGTAAGTGCTGTTTACATGGTTGTTGGTTGAAGAGTGGGGAAAGCCTAGTTTCAGACAGGTTGGAGCAATGGAACTGTGTACAAATGGACATTTGAGCAGCAACATGTAGCTGGCCACCATTTCACATGACGATGAGCTCCTGCTGCAAAAACATGTGATTGGTACAAAGCAGCTGAGCAGCTTGAGGTTGTAAATCTTCGGGCCAGAAACTACTGGATGTCCAGAAATGGAGGAGCTGTTTTTCTTGTATGGTAAAAGGCACCTCGAGCCTGAAGAGAGCCATTTTATTTAACCTCATCAGTTGTAAGTTGACTTAAATGTCAGCTCCTTAATTATATGTATGAACCAGCTAACATGTGCCTCCTGATCAGAAGTAGGCTCGTCACAGCAAACCTTGTGGACAGGAACCAGTGATCTGCCTTTGTAGTCTTTTTCTACTGCCCATAACACCCTTTTTGTGTCTGTATCTATGTGCCTCTATGTAGAGGAAGAGTTTGTGGGCTAGCTTTATGTCAGTGGTTCATAATTGTTTATCTGTAGTTAGAATTGATTTGTCATAAAAGCATCCTTCAAAGTTTTGGCAAAGATCTGTAGCTCGGGTTGTTGACTTGCTCACCGGGCTGGTTTGTTTTTGTTCAGACGTTTCTTCACCATGTTAGGTGACATCATCAGTGGACCCTCCAATGAAGTGATGGTATTCTATTCCATTTGGAATTTATGCTGTCCAGTCCATTATGGTGAGTATTGTCACTTCCAGTTTTGATCTGTATGGGTTTATATATGGGATCCAATTCTGTATGTTTGCTGATTGCATATCAGGTGGAGACCCATGCCTCTAGGAATTCCTGTGCGTGTCTATGTTTGGCTTAGGTTACTATGGTTACTTTGTCCCAGTTAAACTGATGGCCTTCATTGTCTGAATGTACAGTTATTAAGGCGAGTTCATTGTGCTTTTTTTCTGCTTGTTGATGTTTGTGTATTCTGATGGCTAGTTTCCTTCCTGTCTGTCCGATGGCATTTAACTTTACATCAGAATACATGAACATCAGCTAGCAGCAAAACAGCACAATGAACTTGTCTTAATATCTGTACATTCAGACAATGAAGGCCATCAGTTGAACTGGGACAAAGTAACCATGGTAGCCTAAGCCAAACGTAGACGCGCACAGGAATTCCTAGAGGCATGGGTCTCCACCCGTAATGCAATCAGCAAACATATAGAATTGGACGCCCATATACAAACCTATACAGATCAAAACCGGAAATGACAGTACTCACCATAACGGACGGACAGTATAAATTCCAAGTGGAGTAGAATAACATCGCCTCATTGGAGACTCCACTGATGATGTCACCTAGCATGGTGACAAAACGTCTGAACAAAAACAAGCTAGCTCGGCGAGCAAGTCAACAACCTCGTAAATGATTCTTGTTAAGTACAGGAAACCTGGTCTGTGCTTTCTTTCAGCCTGGTTCTAAAAGATTGGTAGATTGGGGAATTTTACAGACATTTCACACTACCCCTGTAAGGCATAATGTGTTCGATTTGTGCTGACAGTCATTGGGTGACCATGGTGTTCTCCACTAGCAGGATGCTGCCATTTTATGAAATTTTGCTGACCACACAAATGAATTTTGAGTGCCTGGGTCATGCAGACATATAAAACATGCCCCACTAACTGTTCTCATCAGGCACCCTGCCAGTTGTGCTCAACCAGTCCATGCTTACGAGCCTCCGAAACCACGTTCAATGTTAGATGTGATTCTAGTATTGAGCAATATTTATTAAATAATCTGAAGTATTATACCAAAAATCAATTTGAGATTATCATTTGGGCCTGCAGATTGATGCATTTGCATGTGCTGAAAGCTGCAAAAATATACACGTGTGTGTGTGTGTGTGTGTGTGGTGGGGAGGTTAGCAGGTTATGACGCCTGGCACATTCTGCTGTATTACCATGGCAACATTCTGGCCAATCAGGTCTCCAAACAGACGGGTAAACTCATAAGTACTTTCTGCATCTCAGTGCCAATGATAGCACAACCAATACCCTTTTTTCATGTGTGCACATTGGGCACCCTTTCTCAAGTCTGTTGTGTCTTAGTCTTGGAAATCAAAAATGCTAGTTGAGAAGATTCAACTTCGTCATCTTTTGGCAAAATGGTGTTATCAGGACTGGGAAAGGCTATTACCACTGGGCAGTAACCCATGCTGATCTCTTGATTTCCAGAAATGAGATATTTGTCTTGATTGCAACTTAGGAGGTGGTCATGGGGAGGGCTCACACAAAGTTGTGTGTTAAAATCATTTGGAACCACTTCAATTCCTTTTCCAGATTTTTCTCTGACCCAACAAGTGTTTTTTGCTAGGTTATAATTCTAGGGGAGCAGGATACTCTGTTGCCTTCCACAAGTAACAAGTCTAACTGGTGTCTGGTCCACAAAGTAGAGATTGAACCTGTAGGTTAAGCCTTTCTAACCCTGTATGGTTCACAACGGAACTTGTTAAATGTTTGTGATCCATGCACATTTACCACCACTATTAATATAAGGATATATTGCGAATACTCAGTACATCATGTCAGTGACTGCAGCTGTTCTCTTCAAATTAATATTAATTTGAAAACAATAAGGGGTGCAGCTTTACTAGGGTGTTTCATGCTAATGACACATTTTGAGCTGCTATCTCATGGTTTATATGAATTAGCTCCATTACAAGCTTATTGTTGTGGATCCTCATTTAGTTCTTCAATTGATTTTGCTTAAATTAGTCCGTAAAATATTTAGCTTGTGCATTGACACAAAAGGCTTTTAGTTTAAAGGGGCAAAAAAAAAAACACTTTATGGGTTTGGTAAATAGGAGGATAAAAGAAAAAATATAGAAAAGCATCATGTTTGCGGGGGGGGGAGCGAAGGGCCTTTTCCTGTTTTGTACTGGTCTTGTTCTTTAATTTTGATGTAGCTCTACCTACATTATCAAGTAATAGCCGAAAAGCAGTAACTTTGATTCTGTAGAAACTAGTAGCAACTCCTATAAATTTTTAAATTTTGTATATATGTAGATATACAGAAGGCAGATGTGTATAGACATTTTGAAGTATCTGTCATGGTCAACACTTCTGAGCGATTCGATTGCTCCACCTTAGTATTGCCACAAGATGGTGCTAAATAACCATAATTGGTCCCTGCTTGCCTTCTACTGCTAATGGTGATTTTGGTTGACATTCTTTCCCTACTTCTACCAGCTAGTTTTATTTCATTCCACTGTTTTTCGTCCTGTTACTTCTCATTCATCCGTGGCTTTTATTTACAATCAAGTCATATTGGATTTTGCTGCTTCTATGATTTCTGTCTAATGTGACTAGTGCTCTCTCCCAGGCAATATGTGATGGACTCAAATTCCAAATATTGCAGACTGTTCCTCGTTATGAACTTGGGTTATGTGTTGATAGGATTAACTAATGGCATCCTTGTCTTGTCTTTGCAAACCTTTCCTGTGTTAACCTCTTGCCAAGTTTAACTGTTCATTCCCAGCAAGGATTTCTAACCAGTCTTGTGCTGCTCCATCCATTCTGTTATCAAAATGTCTTCCATGTTTTGTTTTGTCAACTAACTTCAATTTATCTATGAATCATAATCTTCAGTCAGTTTTCCTTCTGTTACTTGATATTAACCAAATTGAAGTTGTTGATTTGTTGTCAGATGTGTCGTGTTTCTAAATAATTAGCTTATTTTTGAATCAAACTGAATATATAAATATTTATGAAAACAGACATAGCGTAATTGCACAGGACATGCACTGCTTGCAAAGATGTTTATTCTTTAATAGTCATTCAGTAACGGCTTCTCAGGCATTCCTTCAAAAAGGACAGTTCACTGCCCCAGTACATGGAGTAGCAATGTGCTTTGCCACAGGGTATCGAGATGCAGATTTGTCTTCTGATCGCTCAAAGTCAATTCCTAATTTGCATTGCTTGGCTAACATGAGTTTTTTGCAGTACTTTTTCACGCTTGCTAACTGCCTGAGTCAGATAATGACCCAAGGTTTAGGGGAAAATATTTTTGCGCATTGTGGGAACATTGTTAAAAGATGGTATGCGGCCATAATCTTGATGAACATGCTATATCATTTAGCTGCTGGGCAAGGTGTGACTTCAAGTTATAAGTCCTTTAAGGTCAGAACACACTATTACAAGAACCAGATTGAAAGTGATTTCAATAAATAAATTTAAAATCATTTTATTAATCTTGCAGTGTGACATTTTGTTTCTCTCCCATATCCACAGAACTGCTGGAAAGTGTGAAATTGGTTCATAAACCAGTATCTTTGCAACCTCGAGGTCTGATCAACAAAAGCAATTGGTGCTACATCAATGCTGTATCCTTAAAATCTGAATATAATATGGTATCTAAGACCCCAACAATCTGTTTGTACAGTGGAAACGCTAGAAATGAAGGCTGTAGTTTTGAAGTGGGGGGGGAAAAAAGTTGTGTTATGATATCCAGAAATATATTTTATAACCATTTTTGTGAAGAACTTGCTGAAATAAATTTTAAAGTTCTAAAATATTCTGATGGGTGGTTAAGTAAATTTTTGATTAGTTAATATTTGTTACTGCTAATGTATTATAGTTTGGAGAAAGCACTACTAGAAATATCTAGAAACAGGTCAAATCAAAATTTCATAATTTGTTAGTGTGGCTCCATTAAGATTGTGCCTATGGGAAGTCTTCCCTCAAATGTTTCTCAAGTTATATTTTAAAAAAATCTTTGGGATGTATTATCAATGGGTTGTGCAATTTTTATTGCCTATCTGTTCTGTCCATTTACCCAAGCATGGTAAGCTTTAATATCCGGCAGTCTGCCAACTGGAATTCTCCAGTAACCAGGAGTTGACTGCCGAATTTTCCTTTTTAAAAAGCCACTCACTTTGTGTTCAAGTAATGCTTTCTTTAAAAGCAGCCACTAATAACGTGTACATTGTAAATTTGCAAGAGTTGTTCTTGGGCTTTATACAAATATCATTGTTTTGAGTCAGTTTTGATGATTGTGTTGTGGGCACAGTTGCTCAGAGCAACCATCAGTGAAACTGACAGTTGGATTTTTTTTTTGTTTAACAGCAGATCTGATGATCATGGTGTAAGTGATCTTCCAAAGTGGTGTTTAATTGTGATGTGCTGCTGTGCAGGGGCCTTTGATTGCTCAGCTACTTCCCCTGTCCACCACATGCCTTGAGAAGCATCTTGTCTTGGGTCTTTGTAATTCTGTACCATCTGACCTTTTTGATTACGTGCCATCGCCCATTCCCCAAACATGCCAGATTACAAAGATTCTACTGTGGTTTGCATTTATTCTAGTTAATTTTAAGTGGAAGCACATCGTGTGGCACTTCAGAGACTTGGCATTAAGTTAACGGTCAGCCATAGATAAATTTCAATTTGAACACTTCAAGATATTCATTTCAGATTTTTGCAGTAAGCAGTTGTGAACACATGCAAGCAAAATGGAAAACTTGATATTTCTTAAGAGGTAGATTGAATATAAAGTCAAATTAAAATTAAATTGAAGTATTAGAAGTAACTTTAATTGACAAACATATTTTGGGTGATGCTTCCTGAGAATGCAATCATATACATCATTGCCGTTGTTCAGTCTCACTAAAGGCTGAGATGTCCGACTGGAGCTCCTGGTTTTGCAAAACGACCAACATCTATTAGTTTCTAATCAACAGATTATGGTCTTAAATGCATTTCAGTTATATTAATGTGAGTGCACAGTATTTTGGAAAGAAGGCATAAAATTTAACACTTATTACCCAGAATTTGCCTATTGGTTATGTATAAATTAGCAAAACTGAGAGATTTTTCCAAATTTGCTTTTCCTGAATCTAAGAAACATCTTGTTCTTAGTTGGTATGCTCATCCTGGCTGAATGCTAGCATGGATAGAAGGTTGGCTGTCGGCAGAAAGCAGAGAGTGGGGTTAGAAGGGTCTTTCTCAGAATGGCAGCCGGTGACAAGTGGTGTTCCACAAGGGTTCGTGTTAGGACCGCAGCTTTTAAACTTTAATGATCCAGATGAAGTAACTTGAGGGCATTCTGGCTAAGTTCGCAGATGGTACAAAGATAAGTGGAGGGACAGGTAGTATTGAGGAGGTGGGGAGGCTGCAGAAGGATTTGGACAGGTTAGGAGAGTGGGCGAAGAAGTGGCAGATGGAGTACAATGTGGGAAAGTGTGAGGTCATGCACTTTGGTCAGAAGAATAAAAGCATGAACTATTTTCTAAATAGGGAGAAAATTCAGAAGTCTGAAGTGCAAAGAGACTTGGGAGTTCTAATCCAGGATTCTCTCAAGGTAAATTTGCAGGTTGAGTCGGTTTTTAGGAAGGCACATGCAATTTTAGCACTTATTTTGAGAGGACTAGAATATAAGAGCATGGATGTACTTCTGAGGCTTAATAAGGCTCTGGTGAGGCCACATTTAGAGTATTGTGTGCAGTTTTGGGCCCCATATCTCAGGAAAGATGTAATGGCCCTGGAGCGGGTTCAAAGGAGATTCATGAGAATGGTCCCAGAAATGAAAAGCTTAACACGATGAATGTTTGCGGACTGGGCCTAAAATTGATGCAGTTTAGATGGATGAGTGGGCATCTAATTGAAACTTGTTCATTGGTAGGAGAGACTAGGACCCGAGGGCACAGCCTTAGCAAAGGGAATACTTTTTAGAACGGAGGTGAGGAGAAACTTCTTTAGCCAGACAGTGGTGAATCTACGGAATTCACTGCCACAGAAGGCTGTGGAGACCAGGTCATTGAGTTTATTTAAGGTGGAGATAAATAGGCTCTTGATTACCAAGGGTTATGGGATGAAAGCGGGAGAATAGCATTGAGAAATTTATCAGCCATGATTGAATAACAGAGCAGACTCGATGGGCTGAATGGCCTAATTTCTGCTCCTATGTCTTATGGAATGGTCACCTCCAGTGCTGGAACAGTTGTGAATTTGTCTTGAAATGGAAGGGTTGTCTACTTGTCCCACTCGAGTCAAATTTATTTCACTTTTCTGTGCTAGCCCTGTTTGGTTCAGTTTGAATCAAGATTGAGAAGCTTGGTATTTATATGGCATTGCAATATTTCTAAGAAATTGGTGTGGGAAGCAAAATACATCAGTTTAACCTTTTTTTTCTTTTTCTTTTTCTCTTCCTCCATGTGTTAAGTTAACATTACCTTTAAAATGCCTACTGTTGGAGGGCCCTTTGAGCATTTTATGCAGCATGTGTTATCCTCAAATCATTTGATAGGACATCACTGTATGAAATGGAAAATAAAAGTGTGCACAGATGTTACAGTATTTGAATAGGCCGGAGCTAGTCACAGGCCCTTGTTTCGTATGGTTTTCAATATCCACCTAAAACTCTAAATGTATATTATAATGCAGTTGCACATTACACATGATGAAAATTTATTAATGCACTTCCACTTTCAATATCTTGACATGAAATTTCAAGTACTGTGGATTGCAGACAATCAGCAAATGGAACAAGTGGAACAATTCTGCCCTTAACTAATATGACAGACACTGCAAGCTTTGGTTGCTTGCCCACCCATGTATCACCTGATGAAGTCTATTCCCATGTATAGTGAGACGCAGAGACCTCGCAGTTCGACACCAATGCTTGATAGTTTGTACGTATTACATATGTTTATACATGTATTTCAAATATTTTTGATTAATGCTGTAGATAATACGGTCAGGTCTGCACAGTTCAATATAAAATTTAGGAGCTGTTTGGTGACATCAGCATTGCCAACTATACGTGTACCCAATATTAAACAGATTTTACAAATTAAAAATTTCTACTTTACATTTGAGACCTTGTTTGCAATTTTAATGAAATAGTATCATTATCAAAATATCATTAATTTGTAACTTTTTATTATCATATTTGAGAAATATCTGCGACTGCCCATGCTCCTTAGTGTCAGCAAGTTCAGTCTTTGGTTTAAATGAAAGTAGGTCATATACAAAATTTATACATGATCATAATGTGATATATCTGATTTGATTGCTTTCTAAAATGAGATTTATTTTTATCTTAAAGAATAAACATAGTCAAGAAATTGCTAAAAATGTTCTCTAAACTGAACATGGTTCTGTTTTATTAATTGAATAGTGTTCGTCTGATGAATGAGTTCAGTACAATGCCAGTACCTTCCAAGCCAAAACTAGGTATGTAAGTTGGGTAAGACATTTACCAGTGTAATGGTGTGCTAAAAGTGGCTTTACACTAATACATGTAAAATGTCATGAAAATGACAAATTTGATTCTAGAATGCATAACTAGACATTAGTTTTACATTTACGGTTATAATGTACCTAAATGAACCGTGTAGACTTTTCATTGTTAAAAGTAATTAAAGTGGCTGTGCGAATGTTTTATTTCTGGATTTGAATACAATCTCCTCTGATAACCTTTTATAATTATGCAAGGTACTGGTGATAAAACTGTTAAAGATATTCGCACTGGAATTCCTTTCGAACCAACCTACATTTATAGAGTGCTGACGGTTATCAAGTCAAGTTTATCTGAAAAAGTAAGTTTAGGGTATTGTTTACCCTTAAGTAAATGGTACTTTTTTTTTCTTAATCCCAACTGATGTTTTTGAGTTTCAGTAATTTGGCACTTAAGTCCTTTTAGTACCTCTACTGCTGTTTGAATATGCAATGCTGCAGTGAAACTGCAAACAGAAGTTATGTAAAACCCAAGTGCTCTTTAACAATCCAGGTTGGCTTTATCACTTTTATAATTCGTGATAGTAAAATTCTGTATGTCAAAGTGGATCTTAAAAGGAAAACGTTATTGGTGGTGCAGTGCATGGTTCCATGGTTGGGATGTGAGTTTATGCCCGTGACTTGTCCTCTTCTCTCTCCTCCCCCTACACCTGATTTGTTCCGATCTCTCTCTTACCAAAGTGGGAGGTGCTGAAGAGAGGCCGTGCCCTTCCTCTCAGAGGAGAGTTGTCACCAAGCTATGCTCTTCCTGTGGTGATGAAAGGTATTTTTTTTAATAATCATTAGTTGTTTTTCTCTCTGTCTGCAACCGACTATTTAATATTCCCACCCCAAGTCTCTATATATTGAAATCCCTTTTTCCTGATTTGAGAAGTTCGAGAGATCTGGTCCCTGTCACTACTATGAACTGCTGGTGCATAGTCAGCTGTTGGGTGAAGGAGGCTGTCTCAGCTTCATGCCTTCTTGGAAAATCACCAAGTGACTCCATCTTATCAAGATTTGTGATTTGTCCTAATCTTCTCCCCATTCCCCAATTCTCTGCTGGGAGTCATGGATATCTTGTAACATCTTCACAATGCACTTTTTGGAGTTCCAGCATTATACATCACTGTGCTACCATATGTAGTTGATGACTGTGGTTTCATGCAGTGCAAGGTATCTGTCTTGTGGTATCTGTTTCTCTGTTCACAGACATGTAACTTAAAATTACAAACGTGTTTGTGCTATTTTGCAAAATGCTTTAATGGGTGCTTTTCATTGTACTACTTTACCATTAGTCATCTGTTGGCAATTATGGAGCTGATTTACACAATGAAAGTGTCAGCAAAGGTAAAATCTTGTGCACATGGGTTAAACTTGAGATTGGACATTGGACATTGGATGTTGGACCAATCCTGCAAATCAGTTACAAGTACTTGTTGTAGAGTACAGGCTAATTTAAATTAAACCCACTCAGTGCTTGTAATATAAGTCCTGCAAGTGAAAATCTGAAATAAGATTAAGTTCCTCCACTGTGGACCTACTTAAGTGAATGGTAGACAGCACTCATTAACAATCTTTAGTTGTATTCCTATAAACTGAATAAAGAAAGCTCGGCAGGATAAATTTACCGTTGTGTTGTCTCTTTTGAATTCAACAGCCTAGTTGATGTGACAATTATCATGCCTAGTTTTTCAGAAGGCACCTTGGCGTTTTATCCAATTTATAGGCAGTTCAGGCTTACCGATTTCTGATACAAGAACAAGATACAATTTCAGGAGTTAGTTGCACTGTGCCAGTTACCAAAATTTTTTATCTGGAGTTAATTATTCTGGTACAAATAAGGAATAAAACCCATCAGAGAGAATACTTTTTCCATGAGATTCATTCCTATGTTGAAGTGGGTTTTAGTATCTACACAATTGCTTCTAAACCTAGGCCGTGGTGACCCCATTTTGAGTCTTGAAAATTGTCATCATAACCCCTAAGTGATGGTATGAGAGGATTGGTGGGAGACCTGTGAGAGCAAGTGGTGACTAGGGTAGAAGGAGAGCTCCAAGACACGCCCATTGGTGCCATGGAGATCACATACCCCAAATTTCACCTCCCTATCCCACTTGGGGTCCCTGCTGCTACTTTGGAAAGCTGATTTTTATACCATTTCGTTGTTGTAACTTCAGGCCCTTCATTGCTTCTACATTGCAAACCATATAGAAAGATAAACTTGCATATAAAGCACTCTGTGTCCTTGGCATGCTTCGAAGTGCCTCACAGTCAAATAATTACATTGTAGTCACTTTTGTAATTCGTGGAAAGGAAGCAGCAAGTTTATGTGCAGTAAAGGCCTACAATTACCAAAATAAAAAGTTCTTACTATGATGGTTGAGAGAGAAATGTGGGCCAAAACATTGGTAGAATGTGAACATATTTTGGAAGCAAGAGTGGGAGCCTTTGTTCCTTCAAGCCTACTCTGCCATTTAATAATGTAATGGCTGTTATGAGTTTAACTTGAACTGCAAGTTACCGCCTACCCTGATAACCTATTGAACCATGACTTTATTAATAAACTTGTGTATCACTGCCTTAAACATAGTCAAACGTTTCTGCCTTTTTAGGAAGAGAGTTCTAAAAGTACTCAACTCTTTGACAGATATTGCAGATTGAAGCCCTGAAGTAAAACATGTCGGTAATCTCACTTTTGAGTCAGAGTTATGGTTTTAATTCCTTACCAAAGACTTGGGCAAATAATCCAAGCTTAGTGGGTAAGATATCTTTCAGGTGAGATGGCAATTGTGATATTATATTTGTCTTAAATGGGCAACTCTTAATTTTTAAATAGTGACCCATGGTTCTAGATTCTTCCACTAAAGGACATTTCCATTCCACATCCACCTGTTAGGTATCCTCAAGATCTTGTATGTTTCATTTGAATCACCTCCACAGATACAAACTGAATCTGTCCAGCTGTTCCTCATTTGGGCAGCCCCGCCATTCCAATTATTGGTCTAGTAAACCTTTTCTGAACTGCCTCCAATACATTTACATCTTCCTTTTTAAATATGGTGATCAATACAGTACACAGTGAGCCAGTCTGCTTTTATGCCCAATATCTTATTTCCTACACACGAGCTTTTATTTTCCACAATAACCTTTTGTGGCACCTTCTCGCAAACCTTCTGAAAAGTGAAGTGCTGTACATCCTCCTGTTCCCCAGCACATGTTAGTGCTTCAAAAAAAAATTGAATAAATGGGTTAAACCTGATTTTCTTTTTGCAAAGCCACAGTTACTCTGTCTGATGACCATCAATTTATCCAAGTGCCCTCTTATGATGTCTTTAATTATAGCTGTTAACATTTACCCATGATAGATGCTATACTAAGAGGCATCTAACATTCTGCTTTCTGTTGCCCCATCCCCTTTGAATTCACTCCTTTCCAATCTAATGGAACTTTTCCTGAATCTAGGGAAGTTTGAAAAATTGAACTGATGCATCAGTTCTCTTACTAGCTACTTTTAACACTCTAGGATGAAAGTCATAACGAACTGGACCCGTTCCAATAATTTGCAAAGTTCTACTTCCCTGATAATTATCTCAAATTCCTCCCACAGTTTGAATTCCTGATTGACAGCTACTTCTGGAATGGTTACCTGTATCCTCATGTAGTGAAGACTGATGTAAAATAACAATTCATCTACTATCCCTTATTTTCCATAGACTTATTTTCTACAGAACCAGTGTTTGTTTTAACATTGCTGTTTTAAATAGCTGTCAAAGCTATGCCTTGTCCTTATTTTTAAGCTAGCCATCATGTCACAAGATCTTTTTATTCCACCTATGGGCACAGACAAAGCCTTCATTTACTCTATCTCACCTGAAAGATATCTTACCCACTAAGCTTGGATTATTTGCCCAAGTCTTGAGTAAGGAATTGAAACCATAATCTGTCTCAAAAGTGAGATTACAGACATGTTTTACTTTCAGGCTTCAATCTGCAATATCTATCTTCTTCAATAAATGTAGTAAAAAATTCACTGTTGGGTTTCAGTTAAGTCTGACCATTCTACCAAAAATGACACATTTAAGATGCCTCTGAAAAAAAGAAGAGATCCTTCTTATGAAGCATTTCCTCTGACTTGGTAATAATGTTTCCTACAACTGAAGATCCTCTTTCTTCTTACACAAATGACTTTCTCATAGCAAAGGTGCTGTAGTTGTAACCTCATCCATTGTGTATGCTCTCTAACTATTGCTTGGTTTGTTTTGATCAGATTGTACTCCAGAAATCAGGTTCATAAATGGCTGCATTAACTACAGCTTGCATTGTCTGGTACTCTGATGCCATGTCTCTTCCTATTTTGAAGGAAACTGTTTATATATTCAAGGGAGACTGCTAATTTTAGCAAGTTTACTCTGAAATAAATGTGTTTTAAAAATTTTTCCTTGACAAAACAGTTACATTTGTTACTTTGGAACTGACTGGTTGCACTACAGAGTGCCAACATGGGCTCAATGGCTGTGATGTCTCCATAACTGTCTCTGAGATTTCCTGAAAACCCAGTTAAGCTTTCTTTTCTACTCGTGCTATATTCTATTGCCAAAGTCTCACTTGAAACAAATGTATTTCCTCAGTTGGTACATGCCTCTGAATTGGAACATTCTAGATTTAAGCATCACTCCAGGACTGGAGGACTAAAACTGAGTTGACTCCATTGTAGTAATGAACATTTGCTGTATGAAAAATGTTGAAACATTAAATTAAAGCTGTATATCTGTGTTTCAATGAGCCATGTGAATGCTGAAGATCTTTAGATTACAAACCTGGCGTGGAGCAGTATGTTGTCTCGGGTCACACTTCATTCCTTACTCATGAACAGCACTTAAATTAATTCATCATTCATCTCTTTACTGTTTGTGAACCTTGTTGTGCAACTTGGCTGCTACAGTTATACTTAACATGTCATTACTTCAGAAATGTACTAATTGATTGGATTAAAAACCTTGGTGTATTCTGAAAAGTTCTATTTACATTGTGATAATAAAATAAATGTTACTTTTTTCCTGCTGAAACTTCTTATCACTTTTTTGGCCTGCTTTTAGAAAATATGTTCTAACTAATAGACCTTATTTTCTTGTTTAGGGTCGTCAAGAGGATGCAGAGGAATATCTGGGTTTCATTTTAAATGGTCTTCATGAAGAAATGTTGGCACTGAAAAAGCTGATTACTCCTCAGGATGAAAGTAAGTGATCTTTATATCCCTTCTTCCCAGAATTTCGAAGTAGTTTCTTGAAATGTGATTGTGTATCTTGTAAAAGTTGAACATGCAAAGCCAGTCTTTTAAATGAAACGCTATCAGGCCAGTGTAATATTTTTAAGTAATTAGCCTGCCTGCTTGATTTGGGCCCAAAAAAGACTGTGTTGCAATATTATTAAGTAACAAACAATAACACTAAACAGTTTAGATATTAATTCTCTAACATTAACATTAGAAACATATCAACACACAATCTCATACCATACAAATTAATTATGACACTTAACTCTAAAATCTTCAAAATCACTCTAATCGTTATTTGAATCGCCAAATAATTCATCCCAATAGCTTGGGTGTGCAACATAATTTAGATCTTCCTCATCCACATCATTATTGGCAGTGCTGATAAAGGTGGCATCATCATTCTATAATTGCCCGCAGTATATGTGTGCATATGAATTAGGAGCAAAAGTAGGGCAATTTGGCCCCTCAACTCGTGCAATTTGATGAGATTGTGACTGATATGACAGTAGCCTCTTCTTTTCTGTCTTCCCACATAGCCTTGCATCTTGTCTGGCAATGACATCAATCTAATTCAACCTTTAATAAAAGCTAAAAGAACTGTAAATCGGGAACAAAGTTGCTGGAAAAACTCAGCAGGTCTCGGGGCATCTATGAATAAACATCAGTTAATGTTTCAGGTCCGGTGACCCTTCCTCAGAACAGTGATAGTTGGAGGCTTCTCCTCCCTACGCTCCCAAACCACCTGTTTTTCCCTTTCCCTTTGGTGCCTCCTCTATGAGGACCTTTGGGAAATAAATACAAATGACATTAGAATACTGAATGGCCTGGAGAGAGTGGATGTTGGGAAGATCCTTCCATTCGTAGGAGAGACTAGGACCTGAGGGCACAGCCTTAGAGTAAAGGGAAGACTTTTTTAGAACGGAGATGAGGAGAAACTTTAGCCGGAGTGGTGAATCTATGGAATTCACTGCCACAGAAGGCTGTGGAGCCCACGTCATTGCGTACATTTAAGACTGAGATAGATAGGTTCTTGAGTATCAAGAAAGCGGGAGAATGGGGTTGAGGAACTTATCAGCCACGATTGAATGGCAGAGCAGACTCGATGGGCTGAATGGCCTAATTTCTGCTCTTATGGACTTAATAGGATTTCACTCTGCTGTTCTAAAGCTTGATTGACAGCTTTGAGTCATCTGTCTTTCGGCAGACTCATCAGTTACTCTAAAACGATTTTGCTTTTATTAGTTGGTGAGATACAAGTATAACCAGGGTATACAGGGCAGCATTTATTGTCCCTTCCTGACTGCCCTTAAGGTGGTGGTGACCTGCCTTCAACCACTGAAACCACTGAAATCTATGTCTAGGAACTCTCATAGAGCTGTTTGTTATGAGGGTTTTAGAAATTTTGTTCAGCAAAAATGAAATATCAAAATATTTTCAAGACAGGCAGATGTGATTTGAAGAACTTGCAGTTGATGGTGTTTTCGTGTTGGTTACAGGCTTTGGAAATGGTGTCAAAGAAGCTTTGTCTAGTATCTGCAGTCTCCTTTGTATGTGATACACGTGGCAGTTACGGTGCATCAGAAATGGAGGGAGTGAATGTTTGTTTAAGGAGTGTCTGGTGAAGTGAGCTGGATTGACCTAGATGGTATCGGGCCTCTTGTTGAAACTGCACTAATACAGGGAGGTGGAGATAATTCTATCATACTCTTGTGGCTTATAAATGGTGGAAAGGCTTTGGAGAGTCCTAAGCGTGAACTACTCGTTCCATAATGCCAAAACTCTTGCTGGCTCTTCTAGCCCCAGTATTTGGATGACTGTCCAGTCAAGTATGGTGTGAATGCTATGTGCCATTTATCAGTCAAAGCCCAAATGTCCAAATCGTGCTGAATGCAGACAAGGAGGGTTTCATTACCTGAGAAATTGCACACGCTGCAGAGCACTATGCAATCACCAGCAAACATCCCAACTTCTGACATGATAATGGATAGAAAGTCATTGAAGCAGCTGAAGATGGTTGAGTCATCCTGAGGAATTCTTGTGCAGAGGTGGCTGACCTCCAATAATCATGACCATCTTAGTGTTAGCTATGACTCCAAGCAGCAGGTAATACTATTCCTTAATGCCATTGACACCAGTTTGTTTGGTTCCTTGTTGCCACACTTGATCAAATACTGTCTTGATGTCAATCATTGGCACTCGCTGTCACATCACTTCTGGAGATCGGTTCTTCTGTTCATATTTGGAACAAAGCTGTAATGAGGTCAGGAGCTGAGTGGCTGTGGCAGACCCCAAATGACCATCAGTGAACAGGTTATTGCTGAGCAATAACTGCTTGATAGCACTAGTGACAGCATCCGTTGCTTTGACTGGGATGAAGTTGAGTGGGACAGCTAAGTTTGTCATGGAACTAACATAAGCAATTAATAAGAGTTGTACTACAAGACTCATTTCCCAAACTGTCATCACAATGGGGTGCCTACCAGGTGAGCAATTTGATGGCTCCAACTGTTTATATCAATGATTAAGTATTTAAGGAGTTCAGCACTTGGGTAAAGTGTTTTCACAAGTACTAAGTTGAAGGAATTTCAGTGTATTGAAATTTTTGTATTAGTCAGCTGTTTTTTCTCCCCCTAAGTGTCATTGTTAGTAGACAAGTTTTATTTTATTTTTGTCAGCATGTCTCCTGAGGTATGCCCATGATGCATACCGAGAGCATTCACTTGGAGAGGAAAGGAGATATGACTTGGCACTGAGTTATGGGGATATTTGAAAATATAAGGGACTGATTGGAGATGGGCATGTATTTGCCTGGGGCATAATCAGAGGTCACACGACACCAGGTTATGATCCAACACGTGTATTTGAAATCACAGGCTTTTGGAGTGCTACTCCTTCGTCAGCTGAAGTGGAGGAAAGCACATGTGCACAGAATTTATAGGTGGAGAGATAGTAGCAAGATCATTCTACGTAATTAAGAGTGCCAAAAGATAGTACACATGGTGTGAGTGGAGTGTTGACAGGCTGAATAACAAGTCTTTGCAAGTGATCAAAAGTGTCAGACTGTGTGAGTGAAGTGTCAACAGCTGAATAGCAAGTGAAGGGATGGCATATGATCTGATTAATTAAGATCAAATTAATCAGATCTGAGACATAATTACAAAAAATCAAAAATACGATGGTGCTTGAGACAAACCAAATGGCTGGAATAATATGATAGGTATAAGATTCGCATGAGGAGGGTCTAACCAAAGAAACAAGAGTTCCAAAATTGTACAAATTAAGGTAGAGATAATAACAAGTTATCAAGGTGATGGTGTCAAAACCGAACAGTGAGGAAGTTTATGCAAACACAAAACAGTATGGTGAGGTTACATGTGGCGCGACATGAGCCCAAGATCACGGTTGATGTGTATGGAACTTGGCTATTGGTTCCTGCTTGGCGATTCTGTGTCGTCGTTTATCTTGAAGATCGCCTTGGAGGATGCTTACCTGAAGATTGGAAGCTGAATGTCCTTGACTGCTGAAATGTTCCCTGACTGGGAGGGAACACTCCTGTTTGACAATTTTAGTTTGACTGTAGCGCCATCTTATTTTTGAATTTTTGCAATTATGTCTCTGCCTTAATTAATTGGATCATACATCGGTCCCTTCACTTGCTGTTCAGCTGTTGATACTTTACTCACACAATTGGACACTTTTGATCACCTGCAAAGACTTGTCATTCAGCCTGTCAACACTCCACTCACACCATGTGTACTATCTTTTGGCACTCTTAATTATCTGGAATTATCTTGCAGTTATCTCTCTGCCTAAAAATTCTGTGCTAGTGTGCTTCTCTCCACTTCACCTGACAAAGAAGCAACACTTGGAAAGCTTGTGATTTCAAATAAACCTGTTGGACTATAACTTTGTGTTGTGTGACTTCTGATTGTGTACACCCCAGTCCAACACCGGCACCTCCACCCATATGTGGGGCCATCTGGGATGGATTGATGAACGAAGGTCTGGAATGTGTGTGAGGCATAGGAATAGGTGTAGGTCTTTAATTGGCATGGAGGGGGGAAATGAGGGATGAGGGCAGAAGAGAAATTTTATGTTTTAATTTTTATTTTTAAGATTTCGGACACATGCTGGAGTCCACAAACTGGCCTTTCCCCTAACCTGCCTTCAGAACTAGCAGCCTTCTCTACTCTTCCCAGATCACCCAACCTGACTCCCATTCCAGCCCATCTCATTGGACCAGATTTGAGGAACGTAGCTGTTCATTTTTAAAGATCAGTCCTTGGAGCAAGGACTTCTCTTCCTGCCTGGATTCTGTTTATAAAGTACAGGACATTTTGCTCTAAAGTCAATAGGTAGCAATTTAACCATAATAAAAGTTGTCTGCTGAAATATGGAGAAATATCTTCTTGGAATGCATTAGCATTATTCTAGAATTTATTTCCCTACTCATGCAGAACCCAGAGGGAACAAAAAAAAACTTTTAATTGTAGTTTAAACTTTTTGTTGAATAACTGTTCATACCTAGCACTGAATTTGTAAAATAAAAAAACTTTTGCATAGTGTTTTCATAACACGACTTGAATCAGCAGGCGTGTATAATTTCTTGGCAGTTGCAAATTAGTTTTCTATTCCACTTTTAATCGAGAATCGTTCAAAGATTTGTAAAACCCTTTTAATAGAATTAAAAATGTCAGAAAAAAAGCCACATGGCTTCTCAAGCCTACTTTAGCATTCCGCAGGCTACTCGTTGATTTCAACCATTGTTTATAAATTTAAGCTATGTAGTTTGTTACTGGATTGATAACCAGAGGCTAGCATTGACTAGGTATTCATGAGTTCACATTCCATTGTAGTAGATGGACAGTTTAAAATTGCTTAAAAAATCTGGAATGAAATAAGTAAACGCAAGTAATGGTGGCTGGGTTGTAGTAAAAATCCATCACCTTAGCTTTAGGAAAGGAAGTGACCTTTATCTGTTGTTACCTACGTGTGGTTTCAGACCCTCCACTCTGAAATGCCTAACAAGTCACTGAGTTATATCTAACTGCTACATGAATCAAGAATAAAACCAAGTGGAGCATCCAACATCAACTTCAACAGCAGACACACTGCGACATACAAAGCCCAGTCCACCCTGCAAAGGCATCCTCATGAATATTGTGTTCAATAATTCTGAGAAATTTGGAGAATTTGTCCTACAGAATAGTAAGACACCAATCTGATGTAATCATTCTGACAGAACCAGGTCTTTTATCCACCATACCAGATTCCTCCTCCCTCAGTATGTTCTGTCCCATTAGCGAGACAGACCTGTTGGAGATGGAGCAGTGTTGTGGTTTGCAGAAGGGAGAGTCTGGCCTGGGCTCCTCAACATTGGCTCTGGACCCTATGATGTCTTGAAATCAGATAAAAGATGCACAAGATAATTTTCTACTGATTTGCTATCAACTACTCTCCAGTTGCAGTACCTCTGATCAGTATTGCTTCACGTTGAGCATCATATAGAAAAAGGACTGAGAATAACAAGAGCACAGAATGTATGCTGAAGAGGGGAGGAAATTCGTCACTAAGAGTGGCTCGACCTGATTTGTTGAGTGCGACCAGATTGGCCTTGCAGTACATGGTGAGAGAATAGAGGAAAAATCCTCCTCCACCGTCAGCCAGTTGCAGATATAGTCCATGATAGTATTGGCAGCAGCGCCTAGCTACTGTACTCTTCAAGGTTGTATTTGCATGCTGAGGATATGTTTCTCTCCATGTGGTCCTCCCAGTTTGCCAATCTAGATTCAGAACCAATCTAGCAGTTCAAAGCTGGAAGGTCATAATCCTCTAAAACCATTGTCAGCAGCAGAACCATACACTGTTATTGTAAGCTTGGGACTAGCGTGTTCCTCACAAGCCATGGGATCAGCACTGCTTCATTGAGGAGCGTATGTGACTGTGCCAGGAGAAGCGCCGTCAGGTATACTTAAAAATGAAGTGGAACCTCTTGAAACTAAACCATACATCAGTTGTGCTAAACAGCAGAATTAGTATACTACAGACAAATTAAGGGATTCCCCAACTAACAAGTCAAAGCTCTGCAGTTGCATCACATCCAATTGTGAATGGTGGCAGACAATTAAACAATCAACTTGGCAAAAGGGTTCATGAATGTTGCCGCCCTAAACAATGATTGTTGTACATTTGCTGGACTCTGTCTTTAGTCAGGAGTTCCAAATTGATGATTCATCTTGGTCACTTCCTGAGGTCCCACCATTCGAAAAGGCAGTCCCTTAGTCAATTCAGTTTGCTCTGTGCAGGCCAGGAAATGATGAACAGTACTAGATACATCAAAGGCTGTGGGTCCTGACAACATCCTGGCTATTGTACTAAAGACCTTTGCTCTAGAACGTGCTGTGTTCTTAGCCAAGGAATTCTAACATAGTTACAACACTGGCATTTCTCAGCACTGTCTACAATTGTAGAGGTATATCCTTTCCACCACGCAGAACAAATCCAATCTAGGCAATTATCACCTCAAAATCTACAGACCCAAGGTGGAGGTGCTTGGTGAGCTTGGTGCGAATTGGGCCCAAGTATGACTTATATTTATGCCTAACTACAGAAGTTATTTTTTCAAAAGTCCTATTCCCACAAGTGCTGGGACATACTAAATGTAGTCTGTAAACAACTGTGAGGTTTATTTTGTTTTTATGTTCATTATAGGAAATGTTGTTTCAAACGGTCCTGAATTGCAACAAGGACTTGAAGAAGACTTGGAGGAGCAAAGTGAAGGCAGCGAGGATGAATGGGAACAAGTAGGACCCCGAAATAAAACCTCTGTTACTCGGCAATCTGACTTCATTCGAACCCCTATCACTGATGTCTTTGGTGGGCACATCAGGTAGTGTATACTCTGTGAGCTTTTAATGAGTTATTCATAAATCATTGTTTTATACTTGCCTTGGAACTAATGCAAATTTCATGTTTTTGTGTCTTGCCCATGCACTATTTAAAATTAAGGGTTTCCTATTTAAGAAAGAGAATTATTTTCTCGGAGAATTGCAGGTACTTGGAACTCTCTACAGTGGAAGTGAGGTTATTGAATATTTTTGAAGACAGAAGTAGGTAGACTCTTGAGTAATGAGAGAGTCAAAGCTTGTTGCAGATAGGCAATAAGTTGAGTTGAGATCGCGATCATATCAAAAGCTAGAGGGGCAAATTGGCCACCTACCAATTTGTTTTAAGATAAGTGAGAGGTGTTGCATTTTGGAAAGGCAGATCAGGGCAGGACTTGTACGCTTAATGGTAAAAAAACAAAGAGACCTTGAGGTGCAGGTTCATAGTTCCTAGAAGGTGGAGTTACAGGTAAACAGTAGTGAAGAAGGCTTGTGGTATGCTTGCCTTTATTGGTCAATGCATTGAATATAGGATTGGGATGTCACTTTGTGGCTGTATAGGACATTGGTCAGGCCATTTTTGGAATGCAGCATTCAGTTCTGGTCTCCCTGCTATAACAAAGATTCTAAACTTGAAAGGGTGCAGAAAAGATTTACAAGAATGTTGCCAGGTTTAGTGGGTTTAAGCTATATGGAGAGGCTGAATAGACTGTGGCTATTTCCTTTCGAGTGTTGGAGGCAGAAGGGTGACCTTACAGAGGTTTATAAATCATGAAGGTCATGGATAGGGTGAATGGCCAAGGTTTTTTTTTCCCCAGGGTAGGGGAGTCCAAAGCTGGAGGGCACAAGTTTAGTGGGAGAGGGGAAAGATTTAAAAGGGCCCGAAGGGGCCACTTTTCAGGCAGAGGGTGCTGTGTGTATGGAATGAGCTGCCAGAGGAGTTGATGGAGGCTGATACAATTACAACATTTTAAAAGCATCTGGATGGTACATGAATAGGAAGGGTTGAGAGAGACATGGGCCAAATGCTGGCAAATGGGACTAGATTAATTTAGGATATCTGGCCAGCATGGATGAGCTGGCCTGAACGGTATGTTTCTGTGCTGTAGAATTCTATGACTCTAATCCTCTAATTTTTTTCTGATGTTTGACTTGGTTTACTTGAATGAAACAATAAGATTGTTTCTGAGAAAACAAAGTCTCGCTCATCAGGGTAATTCATAAGAATGCCAATTAAAGAGGAAACCAATATTTTTACTCTGAGAAGAGAGTGCTCATTAGTTGGCAAGTGGACTCTTGATTGGTAGAGGTGTTGCCATGGTTAATCACCAAATAATGATGATGATGGAGCAATGAACTATCAAGATTTTTAAAATTTAAAACCAGGCAGATTTACTATTGATTGGTTTAAGGCATTGTCTCGAGAAATGAATCAGCAAATGGTTGTCAGCTACTTTATTGAAATGCAACAATTGAAGTGCATGTACATGTTCTTTGTCTTCAGATTAGATGTGTATTAATGCAACCTTCTGTATATGAGCACACGACAGTGATCCCATTTGAGCAGTCTAAGTTGATTGTCAGCATTTTTCTTTACACTCCTCTGGATTACCCAACAAATGTTCTTCAATGGCAGAAATGCATTCGGTGTTGAACACCGCATTTTCTCCATGGCATCGGCTCTATCGATGGCTACTTATTCAAAAATCAGCATTCTTCTCTCATGCAGTATAAGTTTTGGTCTCCCTTTAAATTAACATACTTCTGAATTGTCCTGATGTGTGCAATTTGAAAAGCTTCAACAAATTGAATCTATTCAGCAATGTTCAAGTTTTGTACAACCAAAAGGATTAATAATATTTTTCTTGTGAATGGACAGTGTACTGCTGCTGTCACCATTTAACATGGATGGGAACTTAGCTCATTTAGGGTGGCAGTGTGAGTCCTTGAATAGAAGAACTAGTGTGTAAAGTCAAAAGTTTATTTTTTTTTTGTTTAGGTGCTTGCCAAAATAAAGAGGAAGGCAATACATTAGTCAGCAATGTGGTTCCAGAACTAGTCTTAAAATGAGTCATGCCATTACAATGCTCCAATAAATAAACAGAAAAGCTGAGTAGCCAGATTTTGCTTCACCAAGGATCAACATGATGGAAGAACCATTCAGAATGATAAAAACCAAAAGAACTGCGGATGCTGGAAATCCAGACACAAACAAAAAACTCAGGTCTGACAGCATCTGGGGAGGCAATGGCCTAGTGGTATTATCACTGGACTGTTAATCCAGAGACCCAGATAACATTCTGGGGACCCGGGTTCGAATCCTGCCATGGCAGATGATGGAATTTGGATTCGATAAATATCTGGAATTATGAATCTAATGATGACCATGAATCCATTGTCGATTGTTGGGAAAACCCATCTGGTTCACTAATGTCCATTCGGCAAGGAAACTGGTCTGGCATACAGGTGACTCCAGACCCACAGCAATGTGGTTGACTCTTCAGTACCCTCTGGGTAGTTGGGGATGGGCAATAAATGCTGTCTAGCCAGCAATGCCCTCATTCCATGAATGAATTAAAAACAAAAAAAATCTGTGGAGAGAAATCAGAGTTAGCATTTCTGGATCTGGATCTTCCTCGGAATTCATGCTGCTAGATCTGCTGAGCCTTTCCAGCAATTTCAGTTTACATTGAAAATGATCATTATTTCTGTTGGGCTATCTCTTCCACCAGATTCAGCTTCTACAGGGGTTTTTAAGATAATTACATAAAAGAATTTACCTTTTTAAAGTTTGTTTTTCTTTGTTTAGAATTATTTTTAAAACACTTTTTCCCAGGGAATCGCTGGGTCATTTTAAGAGTTGGATAATCTGTTCATAAAAACAAGATCAGGAATATGGGCAATGAACTGTTTTATTTTTGAGCACTTGGCCAACCAACGTACTAAAATCTGTTTTGTTTATTCACTCATGGGGCATGGGCATTGCTGGCAGTCCAGCACTTGTTGCCCATTTCTGGTTCCCCTTGAGGATGGTACTGAACTGCTTACTTTTGAGCTGCCACAGTCCATCTGCTGTAGGCAGAGACCCAGAATACTCTTAGGGAGGCAATTCCATGATTTTGACTGAGTCACAGGAAAGACATTGCAATTTATTTCCAAGTCCGGATGGTGTGTGACTTGGAAGGGAGTTTGCAGATGGTGGTGTTCCCATGTTTCTGCTGCTCTCGTTCTTCTAGATGGGAATGGTTGAAAGTTTGGAAGGTGCTGTCTAAGGCTTTTTGGTGAATTTCTGCAGAGAATCTTGTAGAAGTAACAGCAGTGTGTACTGAGCATAGGTGGTGGAGGGAGTGGATGCTTGTGGATATAGTGCCAATCAAGCAGGCTGCTTTGTCCTGGATGTTGTCAAACTTCGTGTTGTTAGACCTGCACTCATCCAGACAAGTGGGGAGTATTCCATCAGCTCCCGACTTGCACCTTGGAGATAGTGGACAGGCTTTGGGGCGTCAGGTGATGAGTTACTTGCTGCAGTATTCATAGCTTCTGACTTGCTCTTGAAGCCACTGTGTTTATGTGGCGAGTCCAGTTGAATTTCTGGCCAATGGTAACCCCCAGGGTGTTATGTTAGGTGGCTGGTAATTGTTATTATAGATCAGAATCAATTGAACTGTTTTGAACGCAACTTTTCAAGTTAGTTATTTCTTTAGTCCCCATCAGAGTTTCAGCATTATCCCAAATTTAATTAATATATATATCAGTGTCATGTAAACTTTCAAAACCCTGCTCACTTCTTACCTTGCTTTCAGATCTGTGGTTTACCAGCAAAGTTCCAAGGAATCTGCTACCCTTCAGCTGTTCTTCTCACTGCAGCTTGATATACAGTCTGAAAAGATTCGCACAGTGCAGGATGCTCTGGAAAGCTTGGTGGCCAGGGAGTCTGTCCAGGGATACACCACTAAAACCAAGCAGGAGGTACACACTTCTAACTATAATAGGTTCAAAATATAAATGGGAACGAAATCAAATTTATTTAAGTTTAAACTGAATGCTTTGAGTTCTACTTGTATACCCTGTGACTTAACCAGTATGGTGTACAAGCATTTTATTTTTCACACCAACTTATAACAGTTAACTTAGATTTTTCTAAACATTGTATGAAATATATATACCTTCTCTGTAGCCTATGCTGGTACTGCTAATGTTTAAAATGCTCACCAAGTGTATGCAGCCACAATTTTGGCCATTTTAAATTAAAACCATAATTGGGATTTTGCTGCAGATTTATCTTATCAATTCCAGTGCTTTGAATACAGAAGTGTCAATGAATCACGTTTGAAGCATTGTTGTTTTACTGCAAGCACTCAGTCACTGAGTTACACTTATCTGCCTTTGAGTTGTTGCACAAGCGTCATGGGCCCCCTGGGCGTCACTGCTAAAAATCTTTTCAGGTTAAATAGTGTGTTGGGTTCACTGACAGTACCTTGATATTAATGGAAAAGCAGTGGATGAGGCAGTTGCTTGACTTGTCAGGGTCTCCCCTGCGCAGTTGCCATTGAGGCAGTGAAGCTTGTGACCCCAAACGTTATCTCTGAGACTGTTCAGGAGTGGAGAAATGATCACGACCCTTAGTTTGGAAGCTTTAAACTCCAGTTTCAAGCCAGCAGTGCAGATGTGTTAAGTTAAATGCTATTCTGGGTGCCAGTCTACTTTCAGATTCTTATTTATCTCCCTTTGGCAGAAGTGTTCCATCTCCTTTCCTGTTGTTCAGGTTTAACTGGAAGAGCTCTGAGTAAATGAGGGAAGATAAAATGGAATTGTATGCAATTTGTGGCTGAAGACGCTTCTATCTCTCAGCCTTTAATGTATTAAATTCACTAAATAAAAGTTTGTTGGAACATTTTGGAGATACTCTACTTTTACAGGTGGCTAAAATATCTAATTATTAAATAAATCCTGCCATGTGTAAAATAAAATGATCTCATTTCCAAATAAAAACTGATGTATTTAGTGTTGTCTGGATTAATTTTCACAGTCTCACTGGCCATTTTGCTCATGTGGCATTGGAATGCTTAATGAATTCAAGACTCTAAACTAATTTCCCCTTGCTGTTTCAGGTTGAGATTTGTCGTCGTGTTACCTTAGAAGAATTGCCACCTGTTCTTGTCTTGCATCTTAAACGTTTCATTTATGAAAAGACTGGAGGATGCCAGAAATTGGTCAAGAATATTGATTACCCCATTGACCTTGAAATAAGCAAGGGTAAGTGTCGCATAGTTATACTAATGGTGAATTGATTGGCTGCACTGGATATTGTGCTTTTTTTAAACCCTTGGGCACTGAAGTGGTCTCAGTGCAGTCACTTATCATAGAACTCAGGATCCCGCACCTGCTATTTCCCTGTTTTTGAATTTGTAATGTTACAGTTTTGTGGGAAACGGATCAAAAGCTTTGCAAGTATTACTGTGAGGCAGTGATAAGTGATTTTGGCTTGAGGTTATCCCTGTCTGATTTTTTTTTTTCTTT